AGTATGGAGAGCAGAGGTGGCGGTGGTGGCCAGGGGGGGAGTTGTTGCATTACCTTTTGCCTTCAACCACTCCAAGCCATGCATGCAACCAATGACATTTGCCTCTTGTTGGCTATGTGACAGAACAACACATGTACATACAAGTGAAACTTAATGTTATTTAAATTATTGCGTAATCCATTAATTACCCTTAATTATTTTAGTCTGTAAAACGTGAAGGAGAAATCAGGATAGTGCAGAAACATTCAATTGATTTAATCGTTTCAGTCATTTTCAAGCAAAAATTTTAAATGTTTCACACACTCGGGTGCACACACACACCACCTTGGCGTCTGCAAAGTTGTGATTGGCATTGGCATATATATATATATATATATATATATATATATATATAATTTCATTGACAGAACAATAAACTAATAAAAGATGTCTGTGGATTAATAGATGAAAGTAGTTGTTGGTTACAGGTTATAAATTTTGTTCACGTCGAGAGATACGCAGGCAAATTCCAGTGTTTTTAAAGTTGCAAGTGACCAGTTTGTACAGTTTGTAATTTGATTAATCACGTATAACTTGTGTATTTTTCATAATGATCACCTATTTCTGTTGATTTCAGTGATGATGATTTAGCATCAATGTGACCTTGATTTGTCAGGTATTTATTCTGGGTTTTTTTGTATCCATAAAATCCAAATAATTGTCTGTTGTTATAATGACATTAAATTACATATACCATGATAGGATTTCGAATCGGACTTTACCCACACCGCCCTGTCGCTACAATTCAGCATCATTTCTGTGACACTCCACAAAGATCCATGTGTGCTTGTTCGAGTCAAAGCTGATACACTTCGCTTGCTCTCAGGCTTGCTGTCTTTTCCTTTTACATAGCAGAAAACTCCGGTATGAAATGTATAAATCCACATTAACATTTCCCTACAGTATTTATTTGACTGGCAAGAAAACAAGTTACATATCATCTTTTAACTGTTGTTGATAAACTGGAAGTTATAACTTATTAATCTTCTTAGACTCCAAGGAATCTGCACATATGCTCAGGTTGGGTTTAATCAGTGTCAGCGCTCACATACTCTGGGATATCACTATAAAAATAAGGGAGTCTGTCAACATATCTATCATGTGGAATACAAAGACCTTCCTGTAATTAACGTGTGATTATTTGTCCGACTACTTCCACCAGTTTGGACGCTCAGCAACACAAGAATCACACATGCTGTGTCCAGATAACGTATGATAAGATATTGGTCATTCAGTCTTGGATAAACATTGCTGAATCACTCAGATCGGTGCCCGGCGCGTTACTTCTGGACCCACCTTTAATCTAGTTTCACACACATGCGAGTGGATACAAGTGGTGTGCACATGTCTACTTGTTGTGTTGTCACAAGGACAAAAAGCTCAAACTTCTGTGAGTTCAAATCAACCTGCTGCTTGAATGTCTCTCCAGTGAGCGGGCAGCTTTGCCTCACGCGTCTGTGTTTCTGTTTGAGAGGGGCGTGTCTTTGCTATTCATAGTTGTGAGAACCTCGGAGGTCTATTAGAGGTCAGAGTGAGTCCTTCTAATAGCAACTGCCGCGGCAAAGGGCCCGTCAGATAACTGTGCCTCTCCACCTTTGGACACAGTCTGCACCCTTTCTTCATATACACACTGTGGGACTGTGAGTATAGAGATTTATTAGAGCTTGATTTGTCAGCGGTCAAGTTTTTGACAATCGAGTTAACGCCATTTAAGTTTGTTCTGGTGCTGAAATGGACGATCATCTTGTCCTCCATGGTAGCTTTGAGGAACATCTGTGTGACTTATTGTAGTGGAGCATTTGTGAGGTTTAATGTGGCGTTTTTGATTGTTGTATTTTATTATAATTTCTCCTTGTTACAGAGCACAAATAGAATTAAACAGCTTTAATGAGTGGTTGCTTTTTGTTTTGTATATAAATTAAGGAGATTATCATAAATGTCGTTCAGCACATTAACAACTTAAAGCACTTAACTTGTCATTAAAAGTCAATTAAAGCAGCTTTACCTCAGTACTTTGTCCCAGTTGGCACTGGTCCCAGTTGCCATGGGCCCTGTGGTAATAATAGAAGTAGGTGAGAAGTCAATTGTTACCTAGAGTGTGGTGCTTGTGTAGTTATTGGTTTACCTACAGGGCTGTTACAGTCTAATCTAGAGGTCAAATGAGTTGAACATGATGTGCATAAAGCTGCCCAGTCTGATAACAAATTGAAGAAACATTAAATGTTAAAAAGAGTGCGTTATTAATTGTCGTATTTCCATATTCACATGAAATATAACTGCTGGTGAGATGTATTAGCTGGTGAGTTTAAATTGGCCATCTTGCCACAGGCTCGTCTAATTTGCATTTCACATTAACATGTAATTAGAAGTCATTTGACTGTTTTATTAAAATTTCAGAGGAACAGAGCCATTTATCCACGACTTTGAAGTCTGAGGTTTCAGACCAGTGAGTTCATTTCTAAAACATCCGGACCACAAAGCCCCTCTTCCCACCAGAAACAGGTAGCGTAGCATTGAGTGTCTGTGGTGGTGTCCTTGTTCCTCCATGAGGGCTTGTGATCTGCAAATGTGTGCGGAGTCATATTTCCTTCCTGTGTCTTTGTTTCCAAATGCACAGCTGCTGAATGGGAGAGCACATCTTCCTTTTGTATACATTGTGTGTGGAAGTGAGGAACAAGAACAATGGTGGAACATTCACACTTTCAGTAGCATACTGACATTGGAAGTTTGTCTTTGAAAACAATCTTCAGCTTTTAGTTTTATGGTTTTAAACATCAGACAGCTCAAAGAAAAAGGCTCTTTCCTCGTTCAAGGATCTGAAGTTCTTGTTCTTGTAAACAACACATGACTACTAGCATTTGATTTTGTGCTCTGAGTGATTCATTTTAATGATCGTCTTTATACACATCACTCATCTGATGCCCTACAGTTTATAAGCTAAATTCAGAAGAGGGCATAAAACATAAATAAATTATGAATTATGACGTATTAAACTTCACATTTAAAAGTGCAACATCAAACCTAATTCGAAACAGCTCAAAGTGGTGATTTCTTTTTGTGGAAGCAAATAAGAGAAGTAAGTATTTGGCTTTAACAGCCATTGAATACTTAATATTGAAATGTAAACTCAACTGAATTCATTGTATAGAAATATTTTACTTTGCAAACCATATAGGTTATCTGACTTTGTTCATTCTGAATTTACCTTTTTGAAAATATGAAATTTCTTTATTTCAAAAGCTGAAGATTAGAAAGGCTTTAAAAAGTTTAGAGCTGAATTTAGTTTGCTCAAATTCTCGGTCAAATTCAGATCCAAAAAATAAAGATGAAGACTTTCCACTAGCATTGTATGGGCTACTCAGGACAAGATAGGCAGTCAAGCCTAAATGCAGTTAAAACAGAAATCTGACCAATCAGAGTACGGTCTGCCAGTCATGTGGTCCAAAAAAGCTGCTCGAAAGTTGAAAACCAAAAATGACTGCCAGAGACACTGATGGAGCTTTAGTAAGTTGACCAGTTTGTGCTCCTTCTGTTATTTATTGTCCTGAGTAGCTGTGATGTTGCTGTTTGAAAATTTTCCACTTGAATTTTAACCAAAAATATTTCAGCCTCAATCTACTTTTTTTTTAAATCTCAAACTTGAATCTTTGGATTTGAATTTATGAACATCGAATTCTTCAGTGGCTGTTAAAATTCCAATACATATGGCTTTCATTTGTTTCCACAGATGTCTTATGTGTTTATATGCCCAACATATTTGAGTAGTGTGATGCTTAAGGGTTGGATAATCACTGAATCACAGTGCTAAATGCTGTATGATTCATTGTGGATCTGTCCTTAATGCTTTGTTTCAGTTTCATCCATTATGTTTCTCTGTTATTATTACGTCTTGTGTCAGGAATAAGCTTTCATATTTTGCCTGCTGTCAGTTGCTTGACAGTAACAGGAAGAAATGAAGGTCTAAGATAAGAAGTAATACTACGAAGTCAAAACAATGTGACCAATGTGTGGTTCTAATTCAGGACATTTTCTTTAGCTGGGGCAGCTGTTGACTTGAAACATGTTGGACACCAGGATGGTAACAGTTCAGAAAAAGGGTGGCCTACAGGTGAAGATACATACAGTGTAGCTTCAGTGTCCTGTCTGATTCAAGTCAGGGACTTTTATTAACTGTAAGGGCTGCAACTAATGATTATTTTCAGAATTCAGAATTTTCAGAAATGCAAAACAAACAGTAAAAGGTTAAAAATATCCATCACAATCTAAAAACTGAAATTTAATGTCCTGCAGTTCATAACCTTAAAATATTCATTTTAATGTAATGTTAAGACAAGGAAAAACAGAAATTGTCACATTTGAGAATCTTAAACAAGAGAGGGTTTGAATTCTTTTAAATGACTTAAATGATTAATCAATTATCAAAATGGTTGATTAATTTTCTGTCAGTGTACTGTGCCTTTTAAACTGTGCATTAAAGACAAAAATAATCTTTTAAAAGTAAAAAAGAGCAGTGCAAAATGAGATCATGTAATAGTTAAAGAGGGTGTTTTCACAGATGGCAGTGAACTACCTTTAACTCTGAATGGGAGCACTATTCTTCTTCAGTGAGAGCGAGCTCTCATGTTGCTGTGTAATGGTCTAAAACAAGAGCCCCATTGATAAAGAGATAGTCTGCCTAGTGTACCATCACATCCTGAGGGAACTTTACAGGAACAGCAAATTAGAAACATTTTAAACAGTTTTATACGTAAATTACAGTAAAAGAAAGAAGTCTGTGATTACACTCATCATGGATGGTAAATCGGTTACTTTATGATGAAGTAAAACTGAAATTTCCCAAACATATTTCTGAGCTTAACTGGAACAGAGACACACATACGCAGAAGAAGTGCAGACAAAAAGTTTCCTAATGTAATAACGCTCCTGTGTGTGTTTCCCCGCAGGGTCAGTGCACAACAGTCATGCAGGCTCAGGATGTCCTGAGACAGCTGCGGATTCCCGAGCTGGATGATGTTCGGCAGTACATGCGCAGCTTGCCCACCAATGCTCTCATGGGCATGGGTGCCTTCGCTGCCTTCACCACATACTGGTTCGCCACCCGGCCGAAAGCCCTCAAACCACCCTGTGACCTCGGCCTGCAGTCAGTAGAAATTCCAGTAGGTGCTCTCTTCTTTTTTTCCTTTTGATAATATCCGATATCCTAAATTAATTCATGGAATGTGGATGCTACAGTAGAGAAAACAATGATGTGTCTGTCCACCCACTGCGTTGTAATGCCGTGTGTCAGAGGAATAATTGAAGCATGATCCAACCACTGGAGGGAAACTCGGCAAACCTCATTCAGCAGGAATGTTAATAAGATCCTTCCCAGAAACTTTAAAGCCCTCCTTTGCTCCAGAATGTGTTTTTCTTTTGTTTATGACCCCTAAAATGTGTGAGCTTGACTATTCTGACTTGTATCTGTGCCAAGTTTGTCACCAGAGAGGTGTTTTCACATTCTTCTACTGAAGCAGCAGATGGACTGGGATCAGCACTTCCCTAAAATATGAGATTCAAATGTATGCTGAGCAAGCTAGATTAGGCACGTCACTAATACAAAAGCCAATTGCTGTTTAATATGGGAAAGGCATATCATCAGGGGAACAGACTGCCACACACCTCCAGAGCAGAGCCGACTTGTCAGAGAGCCTGAGTTTGCATTAGCATTGGGAAAGTTTTGACAGGAAACATGGTAGAGTGCAGTTTTTGTAACCCGGACAACGGAGCAAAAACAACCCCATCCAAACAGATTTTTTTGTATGTTTCACAGTCACTAAGGTGGTGTCAGACACTGCCAGTTTGCCTACAAGCTAACATGTCATAAATAAAACATGTTACTAAAATTTTCGTTCAGATACGTCTGTTCATCTCAGATGAGCTAAAGCTGGCTGTGTTGGTAAAGTGCACTTTATTAATACTTGCTTTGTATCATTCCAGCACCACTTTCTAATAAGGCATGCTTTAAATAGCTTATTAGCTGTAATTAATTAAGTTATCTAAGCTTAATTTAAGCCATTAATGATAAAGATACAAGTTTTGGGTTGCCAGGTTGTGAAAAAGCTCTACTTGGTGTTTATCCTCCCTCAGCAGGACACTTGCTTTGTCTTTTCAGCTTTAGCTCTTTACTTCATGGACTGTTGACCTCATTTACAACTCCAGACCTGATGGATTAAAAAAACCTTTTACTAATGACTTGTTAACATTAATTCCACAGTTAATTTGTTAATAGAAACTGAACCAAAGAGAGAGCTAAAGATATACTCTGCAGGCTTTTCCTAACAAAACAATGTGTAGACTTATACAAAAGTAATCCCTCTCAATCATCGCATATGACCCAGAAGAAGTGTGTGATGGTGTATAAATCTGCAGATACTCTGCCCTCTGCTTGTATTGTCTTGTTTTCTGTGTTCAGGACGTTTATGGGTGTGTGTCCCACAGCAGTCAGGTGCGGTCAGGGCTTTATAAAAGGTAGTGACCAGGTGCCAGACTGTAAGCAGCAGGCATCCAAGAGAAACAGTGCTAAAAATGGAAATACAGCGAGGCAAAATGCCAAATGAAAGTGAATCTGGGGTTGGCTTTTACTTTCACTTTTGCTTGTGAGTGTGTTTACAAGCAGTAACCAACAATTCTGCATAGTATATCTTTAAGAGGTTTTTAACGCATTAGCAAATCATGTATTATCCAAAGACTATCACAGGGCTGACGCATAGAGACAGACAACCAGTCGTGCACACATTCACACCTACGGTCAATTAGAGTCATCAGCTGACGTCACCTGCATGTCTTTGGACTGTGGGAGGAAGCCGGAGTACCGGGAGAAAACCCACGCTGACATGGGGAGAACATGCAAACTCCACACAGAAGGGCTCCAACTGGAGACCCTCTTGCTGTGAGGCGACAGTGCTGACAGGTTTTTCAGTGGTAGAAAGAGAAATTTAAAAAATCTTGGTTTCAGTTTTCTGCTACATCATGTTCAGCTTACTTTCACTTGGAACTAGTTGAGTCTCATAAAGAAACAAGATTACTAACATATGGTTCTCTCTGCTGAGTGTAAATGGCTCGCTCCAGCTATTGCTTCCTTTGTCCCACTGTTTTCTGTCATTACACATTTGAGCTCAAACTGCAACTGCTGCATAGTGCCCTATCTGAGGACCACATCCTCCTCAGTGCATCTGTATTCTCCATTTCTCGACGGTGCTCACAATTAGAGAAATGTGAGGTGAGGTGTCAGAGGTTTAAGTGCTTGTCCTAACTTAGATTTTTTTCCCTCATAGGGTGGAGAACGTGCAAGGAGGTCAGTACTGAACGACAATGATGAGCACATGACACACTACTACAGTGATGCACGCACAATGTACGAGGTGTTCCAACGTGGGCTCAGAGTATCAAGTAAGTGTTTGTATCAGTAACATGATGTGCTATAATTCTTCTAGTGAATGTAGATAAAAAAAAGAGCTTTATTTTCTTTCACAGATGACGGACCTTGTTTAGGATCAAGGAAACCAAACCAGCCATATGAGTGGCAGTCGTACAGTGAGGTGAGATGTTGAACACAGACATGGAAATCTAACATTCAATTTGTCCACAATAGACAGCTTGCCAAGTCACAATAGGTTTTAAAAATCAGACTCTCTTTGTTGTTGTTTTGCACAGGTGGCAGACAGAGCGGAGCACATGGGCTCTGCTCTCCTTCACAGAGGACACTCTCATACAGGAGACAAGCACATCGGCATCTTTTCCCAGAACAGGCCAGAGGTACAACAAATGTGTAAATAATCTTGTTTAGGTTACTATATATATATATATATATATATATATATATATATATGTATATATTATTTACACAGAATATATACAGTCAAGGTGAAATGGGGTTATTGCACAAGTGAGATTAAATTATTGCACATGTTGACAGTGGGCGAAATAGTCTTCTGTGTGATGGCTTTCTTGCTCACGGCCAAAATTACTTCGTAGAGGTATTTGTCCTGGGTCATGAGATTGTCCGTGGTTTTGCCCAATTACAGTATGACGTAAGAACCAAAAAGATCAGCTTCTATTCCAAAGATGTTCCAGCACTTTTTATTGGTGTTAGGAAATCATTTCCTTCACATTCATGTCTTTCATTAGTGATGTTGACGGAATTTTCATGGTTATGAAATTCTTGAAAAAGTTATGAAATTAGAAAATGAGTTTTCCAGGCCTGGGGATGGTTTGGAATTGAGAGGAAGTTATGGAAAAGTTTTTAATATACATTGTTTTGGTTATTGTTCAAAATTTGTTCATGAAAATCCCCCAAAAAGTCCAACATTATGCAAAACACATTCCCTGTATTACCAATTTTAAATCTAATGCTGGGCTGCATGACTGTTGAAATGTCACTAGTATCATGTGATACACATGCATATGCAGCCAGTTGTAAGTGAGAATGTGTAATGAGCGAGTTAAGTTAGCAAGGACTAGCAGTCTCTTATCCGCAAATGCCTGGGAAGTACAGTACAGGCCAAAAGTTTGGACACACCTTCTCATTCAATGCGTTTTCTTTATTTTCATGACTATTTACATTGTAGATTCTCACTGAAGGCATCAAAACTATGAATGAACACATGTGGAGTTATGTACTTAACAAAAAAAGGTGAAATAACTGAAAACATGTTTTATATTCTAGTTTCTTCAAAATAGCCACCCTTTGCTCTGATTACTGCTTTGCACACTCTTGGCATTCTCTCCATGAGCTTCAAGAGGTAGTCACCTGAAATGGTTTCCACTTCACAGGTGTGCCTTATCAGGGTTAATTAGTGGAATTTCTTGCTTTATCAATGGGGTTGGGACCATCAGTTGTGTTGTGCACAAGTCAGGTTAATACACAGCCGACAGCCCTATTGGACAACTGTTAAAATTCATATTATGGCAAGAACCAATCAGCTAACTAAAGAAAAATGAGTGGCCATCATTACTTTAAGAAATGAAGGTCAGTCAGTCCGGAAAATTGCAAAAACTTTAAATGTGTCCCCAAGTGGAGTCGCAAAAACCATCAAGCGCTACAACGAAACTGGCACACATGAGGACCGACCCAGGAAAGGAAGACCAAGAGTCACCTCTGCTTCTGAGGATAAGTTCATCCGAGTCACCAGCCTCAGAAATGGCAAGTTAACAGCAGCTCAGATCAGAGACCAGATGAATGCCACACAGAGTTCTAGCAGCAGACCCATCTCTAGAACAACTGTTAAGAGGAGACTGCGCCAATCAGGCCTTCATGGTCAAATAGCTGCTAGGAAACCACTGCTAAGGAGAGGCAACAAGCAGAAGAGATTTGTTTGGGCCAAGAAACACAAGGAATGGACATTAGACCAGTGGAAATCTGTGCTTTGGTCTGATGAGTCCAAATTTGAGATCTTTGGTTCCAACCGCCGTGTCTTTGTGAGACGCAGAAAAGGTGAACGGATGGATTCCACATGCCTGGTTCCCACTGTGAAGCATGGAGGAGGAGGTGTGATGGTGTGGGGGTGTTTTGCTGGTGACACTGTTGGGGATTTATTCAAAATTGAAGGCACACTGAACCAGCATGGCTACCACAGCATCCTGCAGCGACATGCCATCCCATCCGGTTTGCGTTTAGTTGGACGATCATTTATTTTTCAACAGGACAATGACCCCAAACACACCTCCAGGCTGTGTAAGGGCTATTTGACCAAGAAGGAGAGTGATGGAGTGCTGCGGCAGATGACCTGGCCTCCACAGTCACCGGACCTGAACCCAATCCAGATGGTTTGGGGTGAGCTGGACCGCAGAGTGAAGGCAAAGGGGCCAACAAGTGCTAAACACCTCTGGGAACTCCTTCAAGACTGTTGGAAAACCATTTCAGGTGACTACCTCTTGAAGCTCATGGAGAGAATGCCAAGAGTGTGCAAAGCAGTAATCAGAGCAAAGGGTGGCTATTTTGAAGAAACTAGAATATAAAACATGTTTTCAGTTATTTCACCTTTTTTTGTTAAGTACATAACTCCACATGTGTTCATTCATAGTTTTGATGCCTTCAGTGAGAATCTACAATGTAAATAGTCATGAAAATAAAGAAAACGCATTGAATGAGAAGGTGTGTCCAAACTTTTGGCCTGTACTGTACATAAAAATGCCATAGTATGGTATTACGTCAGAAATCATGAAAAAATGTCAGAGTACTATGTCGTCCAAAATCATGAAAAAACATTATAGAATAGTATGTCGTACAAAATCATGAAAAAATGTCATAGTATAGTATGTCGTCAAAAATCATGAAAAGAACGTCATAGTGTAGTATGTCGTCAAAAATGAAAAAAATGTCATAGTATAGTATGTTGTCAAAAATCATGAAAACGTCATAGTGTAGTATGTCGTCCAAAATCGTGAAAAAACCTCATAGTATAATATGTTGTCAAAAATCATGAAAAAACATAGTGTAGTATGTTGTCAAAAATCATGAAAAAAAACGTCATAGTATAGTATTTTGTCAAAAATCGTGAAAAAAATCATAGTATAGTATGTCTTTTGAAGTTATGGAATATAATACATAGCTTAAGAGAGAGGCAGACCCTAGCCACACTGGTTGTAGGCTCTGCACCAATGTGTTAGACATTGGCAACATGAGGGAAGTGTTTGGTCAGCCATGTTAAGGGGAAAAAGCATCAAGACAACCAAAAGTCTGTTCAACAGACTGCCAGCAGCTGCACATATTTCACACCTGCTGTAGCCAGGCCAGATAACTTAACTGCTTCTACCCACATGGCAGGCATTGATATATCTGTGAGACAGCTTCAGCCAACGCTCAACCAAACCATTACTGCATCAAATGATCTGCCCACCTAGTTTAAACTACTTGCATGAAGTCAAGGAAATGAAGTAAAATATAGAAAAGTAATGGAAAACCTTTGAAAATGAATGTTAAAAATGTGTGGGAGCCCTGTGTTGATCTGTTTCCTGTGTTTTTTCTTGTCTCCCAGTGGACCATTTCAGAGCTGGCCTGTTACACATACTCCTTGGTGGCAGTTCCACTGTATGACACACTCGGCACCGAGGCCATCGGCTACATTATTGACAAAGGTACATGAGAGTTCACCTTCAAGCACCAACCTGCAGCGTTATCGCAGCGCTCTAGATCAAGGGCAGTGATACTGATACAAACTAAGTGTTTAACTTGGTGCCATCTGTTTTTCAGCTGCCATCTCAACAGTGATCTGTGACGTGCCCGAAAAGGCTCGGATGATTTTGGACTGCATCAGCGGTAAGGGGCGAACGGTGAAGACGATTGTGCTCATGGGGGCGTTTGACAGCGAGCTGGTGACGCGTGCAAAGGAATGTGGCATTGAGATTCTGAGTTTAAAGGAGCTTGAGGTAAGAATAATAAAGTAGTCTTCTTTATGTCCACTATGAATGTACAACATCTATTTACTGAGCGTCAACCATCAGCAGATGTTCATGGAAATTAGCTGTGCCCTGCTGTTGTTGCTGTTTGAGTCACACTGTCATTCAGTCGTGCTCGGGTTAGAGCTAAATGGAAATTAGACCCTGAGGCGATGTGTGTTTAACGCTTGATCGTTATCAGCACTTCCTGCAGACACAGTATATCTCACTGTACGTTTTGTGTTTACTCCAGGCCTTGGGTAAAGCCAACCTCCAGAAACCAGTGGTGAGTAAGAGCAGCACACTTCAGTTGACCTTTTGATTGCACGACAGAAAATGCCCTTAATTCTTATGAAAAAACATATTATTAAACTTATCACATTTCTAGTGCAATAACAATTCAAGCTTCGTATGCATTAGTGTAGATCTGTGGTCTGATTACAGCCCCCTAAATCCGAGGACCTTGCAGTTATCTGTTTTACATCTGGAACCACAGGTAATTATACATCTTATTTACAACATAACCTTTGGATTTTTTTAACTCATGTATAACCATGATCATCATTTTCCTTTCAGGAAACCCCAAAGGTGCAATGCTTACTCATGGGAACGTAATCTCCAACACTGCAGCTTTCATTAGAATAACACAGGTAACGAGCAAACACACCGGCTGGACTGAGAAGTAGAGTTGCAGCGGTAAACATGCACCTTGGTATTAAAAAAGATAGTTATAATACCGTTTTCATTTGCTTATCTACAACCCTGATTCCAAAAAGTTGGGATGCTATGTCCTTAAATGAAAAAAGAATGCAATATTTGCTAATCCTCTTCAACATACATTCACCTGAATACATTGCAGATATCAAGATATTTGATATTCAGACTGATAAACTTGATTATGTTCTGTAAGTCTGAATTTGATGCCTGCAACACGTCACAAAAAAGTTGGGATAGGGGCATGTTTACCTCTGTGTTACATCAACATTTCTTTAGGCAACACCCAGTAAGCGTTTGGGAACTGAGGACACTAATTGATGAAGTTTTGAAAATGAAATTACTGTCTCAAAATTCACAAGCGAGCCCCCCAAAATCTTCAAGATTTAAAGACTGTCTGTGAGGAAGATTAGGCCGAAATCCCATCTGAACACTGAGAGATTAGTGTCTTTTTACATCTTACATCTTAAAGCTGGTATTGCAAACAAAGGCTTGTCAAGTGTTTAAATAAATTTCAGCTAGCGTGTCCAGTACCTATGTCATTCCACCCTATTGCACATAATTTTTAAGTATTAAAATGTTAGGATTTCTTTATCTGTGTAGCTTTATTGAATTAATACCAGTGTCTAGTCTAAATTTCATGTAAATAGCTGCATTAGAAAAATGTATAATCGATATTTTAAATACTCATTTCCCCACTGTATGTCAGAAAGGATTGGCAAGTCATTGCATTCTGATTTTATTTTATTTTACTTTTTACACAGCATCCAAACCTTTTTGTGGAATCAGGGTTGTAAGGTGTTGGAAAAAGAAAATGCATCCAATTGGGGAAGCTCACCTGCACATGTGCATCTTCTTTCCTCATCTGACTGTCAGACTTTTTTATACATACTTCCATTTATTTAAAAAAAAAAAAAAAAAAGTTTCAATGATAAAAATTGACAACGAAAAATCCTTCTTTTTCCATTTCCTTTGATGGCCCTCTTTGTAACTACTACTACTAATAGAAGTAATGATAATAATAATTGTAGTACTGTAAACTGTCATACTTTCTTGAGATGGTCATCATAACATGAAAATCTCACACCATTCCAACCCTACTTGGTGGATAAATATTTTAAGCATTGAATCCTAACATAAATGACACCGTCTAATGTGTGTTTGACATTACTTCTTGTTTTAAGTGGATGCATCTGCCTTTCCTAATTCAGAAATTTTCTTTAACCTTTTTTTTTTTTTTTTTTTTCATTTATGCACAGTGTATTTTTCCCTGGTGTTCCCCTCACTCTCTACAATCATTGTTTTTGAATCTCAGCCTGAAAGTGAAACTGCAGACTCTACTCAGAGCTGAGAAAAGTACCTACACCTCCTCTGCATGCATGACAATAATTTAGTTCTTATTCATTTTAGCTTTTTTTTATTTACAGTTAAATATTAATATTAAATATTACAGTTATTCCCATAGAAAAAAAACTAGAAGTGTAGCAAGATAAGGCAATAAAAAGACAGTCGTATTTTTAGTAAGGAAGCAAATACTGCCTTCTCTGTTAATAAAACTTAATGTGAGTTGGGTTGCCTAAGCACAGCAGTTCACACATCATGTTTGTTACACTACCATTAACAAGAAAAGCACACGAAACAATGTCAAAGCAATTAATTATTTTTAGACACATGTATAAACAGGCAGGAAATAATATCCTTTAACTGAACTGTGCTGCCCAGACTTATGAAACTAAAGCTGCTTCCTTTCATTCATAATATTTGAATCCAATAAAACATACGAGTTGAGCTGTTCCATAAACCTTTCTTCAAATCTTAACTCCTTGGCTAACTCAGGTTGACCCTCTTTGACACCTTTTATGTTTTCCTATCCATCTCGCCTCTGCTGTCCTCTTTGGTCCATTCCTCCTCACTCCTCCTTTTTCCTCCTCCTCCTCCCCCGTGTTTGTTGTCATCCAGGGCACACTGAAGCCCTCCCGTAAAGATGTGCTCATCTCCTTCCTCCCCTTGGCCCACATGTTTGAGAGGGTGGTAGAGGTATAGTACGCCATGCTTGACCCGCATATGCGCATGTTTTGCTTTGTGTGTCCTCTGCAGGTACACTGCATGCTGAACGTCCATGATATTCATGTATCCTATCTCCCTCTAGCTCACATGTTTGAGAGGGTTGTACAGGTATGTGCTGCACTTGTTCACCTTCAGATGTATTAGATAATGAAAGAGGGGTTTTAAGAGTCTGGGATTACCGTCAGAGTTTTTGGGATTTATTAAAATGTGAAATCAATTTTTGGAAACAACTGTATAGTTAGTAGGTTTTATTTAAAGCTATGCTATGCAGGATTATCAGTTACTGTATGGGAACACACTCGCCAGCAAAAGTCCAAGCCAACCCCAGATTCACTCTTGTTTGGCATTACACCTGGCTATATTTGCATTTTTTACATCTCTTGGATGCTTGCTGCTCACTGTCCGGCACCAGGTCGCTACCTTTATTTAAAGCCCTGACCTCACTGCTGTGGGAGCATACACACGTAAACGAACCAAACACCAAGCATAAGAAGAAAATAAGTTAAATACAGGCAGAGGGCAGAGTCTCTGCAGAACAAAACACTGCCACGCTCTTCTACTGGGTCATCGGTGATGATTTAGATGGATTACAGATTGTTCTTTTTAGGCAAATCCTGCGTAGTATACCTTTAACTTCTTAAGCTTTAAGGCTGGGCATTTAATAGATTTTGAGTACTGACAGAAATGTGCCTGCAACACTGAGTGTCTAAATAAAGTGAACTCAGAGTTGGCATTAAATGTTTGGCCAGATTCTTAATATTGTTTATTTATTCTTTAAGCAGATATTTCCATATTTATTCCTTTATTTTGTTCCTTTGTGACTGTACTTTTAATAGATGTAATCTTGTGCATTTGGTTTTTGTTAAGACAAAATTAAACACTTTTTTTTTCAGAATTTTTATTTATTTTTGTTAAATTAAAAGAGAAGTTTTATAGGAAAAAGACATGTTTATTGTCCCCAAAGTAACGCATAAAGAAAGTGGGAAACTGTGTGGTGGAACGTAGTGATGCAAAAACAAACGGGGCTTGTGTTGCTTAACTTTGTCCTTCTCAGCTGTTGTAATGAATTTGTGATCCATAATCAATCCAATCATCCCCAACACCTCCAAAGTTTTTTTAGCAGCCCTGCCAAAAGCAGCTTCTGCATTTGGAAAATGGAGTGGATTTTGAAAATTAGACTAACCCTAACCAAATGTTCACAACACTGCCCCCGTGTGGTTAAATTGTCACACTGATTTAATGTGCCACAAGTAGAAATAAGCTTTCTCTTCATCAGGGTGTCATCCTGGTCCACGGGGCTCGAATCGGCTATTTCCAAGGGGACATTCGACTTTTGATGGATGACTTGAAAACACTGCGGCCAACAGTCTTCCCTGTGGTCCCGCGTCTCCTCAACCGCATGTTTGATAAGGTCAGTTTATCTAATGTTCCTCGTGTTAGTCTACAGAAGTCAGTCTCTCATTTTGTTTTTGAAATATTGGGAATTTCTATCTGTGATTATAATGTGCTGTTTTTTACTCTGTTTATTTACTTACTTATTAACACAAGTCCCATTTCTCTAGTCTGTTGCCTTGTTTAATGTTTGATATAAAATGTGGTGATAAAATAATGGTGATTTCTCCACAGGTCTTCAGTCAAGCCAACACGCCGATAAAGAGATGGCTGCTCGATTTTGCTTTCAGGAGAAAGGAGGCAGAGCTTAAAAGTGGCGTGGTCAGAAAGGACAGCATGTGGGACAAAATCATCTTCAGAAAAGTGCAGGTAAACATGGCGTCTTGTGTTTTTGTTCACTTCTTAAACGTATTACTTTTACTGCTGATATCACACATACTTACATGTAATAAGTTCCTTGCATTCATTTTAATATTTAAATCAGAAGGTTTGATGTTTAGTAATATTAGATTCAACTTTATTGTCCCCGCATAGGTACTAAGACAACGAAATGCAGTTTGGCGTCTAACCAGAGGTGCCAAAAAGCAGTAGTAACAGCCATTAACAACGCCCTTCCTGTTTGTTTCGCACTTTGCAGGCAAGCCTGGGCGGTCGTGTCAGACTCATGATTACAGGAGCAGCACCGGTGTCTCCAACCATCCTGACGTTCCTGCGAGCCGCACTGGGCTGTCAGGTGAATCACATTCACTCACTCATCTTGCTGATTGTTTGACCAGTCTGTATGAATAACTGCGAATGTCACTGACGACTCTTATGCTCTGCACTCCAGTTCTATGAAGGCTACGGTCAGACTGAATGTACAGCTGGGTGCTCTATGTCAGTGCCTGGAGACTGGACTGCAGGTAAATCTCTTGTCCATTCTCATGTAATATAGATATATAGAGATATATACATAGATATAGATTTGAACCACTGTGACTGTTTTGCATCTGCAGGTCACGTCGGGCCTCCTCTGCCCTGCAACTATATCAAACTGGTGGATGTGGCAGAAATGAACTACCTGGCAGCCAATGGAGAGGGAGAGGTGTGTGTTTTCACTAACAATCAAACACATACAGTTGTGGGTGGTAAAATGTATTTATGTGGGTTGTATTAAACAAAGGTAGCATTAGAATTACTTAAATACTTACAGGATAACACCAACATTATTTAAACACATTATTACAATTATTATTATTATAAACGGAGAGACCAGAATCAACAGTGAACTCCTTTTAAAATAGTGCTGCCTGTAAATCCACAGCTTGATAAAACGCATACAAAGAACGAATAAAAGTGCATGAAAAGAACAATGCTGTTACAATTAGATTGACAGACAGTGTTTCTTCATTACAAATTTCTTCTTAATCAGCTCAGTGACCAAAGAATAGCTGCACATACGGCAGAATTAATTAGCAGAACAAAAAAAGAGCATAAAACTGTACGATAAATCTTATTACAGAGTAGTGAGGATCAGAAAACACACTTGACTGCAGGGAAAAATAAAGAAGGCAAAGCAAATCATGTTAAACAAAGTGACACAGTGAGTAAATGACTCTACGTCCATGCTAGCAGCTGTACTAAGGCACAGCGGTGCTTTGAGCTAAATGCTAACACGCTCACAATGACAATAACATCTTATGTTAATCAGGTTTAACGTCTGCCATGTACACCATGTTAGTTTAGTTTCCTACTCAAACTGATAGGAATGTCATTAGTTTTGCAGGTACCAACCAAAGTGTTGGACACATCGATGGTGGCACCACATAAAAAGTCACAATTTATCCTGAAAGGGACAAATTTCAGGTCTAACAGCTGTTGGATATTAATCAAGATACATCATGTGGGGACCTTGAATGTCTGTACAAACTTTTGTGTGTTCAGATGTTTCACCAGCTTAAGTGAAAACTCTGACCTGCTGGTGGTGCTGGAGGATAACCAAAGTCAGTAGGACTGATTGTCTGGACATCAAGAATGTCTGTAGAAAATGTCATGGCTATCCATCCGATAGTCGTTGAGATATTTCAGTCTAGTCTTCAGTCTGTGCTTACAGCTGTGCAACTAGTGCAGATGAAGACATTGCATGTGCGCCAGAAAGTAAAGTTTAAATGTAATCTCTCCCTCCAGGTGTGCGTCAAAGGACCAAATGTATTCCTGGGATACCTGAAGGATCCTGAGAAAACAGCAGAGGCGATAGACGAGGAGGGATGGCTGCACACGGGAGACATTGGGAAATGGCTTCCTGTAAGCACAGCAGGCTGAAGGGCACCATTCATCTTTGATTTTTGTTGTGGACATACTGCACATAACAAGTCCAGTGGCATAGCATCAGTTGCAATCTGTTTCTCTCTTGTGGTTTGTTACAGAACGGCACTCTGAAGATCACTGACAGGAAGAAGCACATTTTCAAGCTGGCCCAAGGAGAATACATCGCTCCCGAGAAAATAGAGTGTGTGTATACTCTCAGTGATCCAGTGGCCCAGATATTTGTTCATGGCGACAGCTTACAGGTGAGTCATTAATTTGGAACTGGTGTGAATATCAGATATTCTTATCACAATGCAGAGCTCCCAGTTTGGTACAATTTCACTGGCACTGATCTTCATGTTGTCCGTCTTGTATTTTTCAGGCATGTCTGGTGGGGATAGTGGTTCCTGATCCAGACTGTTTACCTATTTGGATCAAGAAAAAAGGGATTGAAGGCTCCTACACTGACCTGTGCAAAAACAAGGTATGTTATTACAGCAGCCCAAATATTAGTGATGTTCCAAGTCATGTTAAGTTATTAATAACTTAAAGAAACACAGCGTACAACAGTCCTCCAACACCTTCTCTTTCGGTCTCTCTCTAAAAACGGATGGTTTAAGGCACTATTAGGCCCTGATCACACAGAAAGTGATTTAGCAGCTGGAGGCGGCTATTTGTAATTGCTCGCGGTTTTAACATTGCAACGAGCCTTGCGTTTCTGTGCTTTAGGAGCCTGGTGTTTTTGCTGGAGTGCTCTGATCACCTGGAGTTCAAAAAATACTTCAACTCAGAGCAGAAAGGCGCTCCACGCCATCTCTTTTTTCATCATCATCTTTTTTCTCCATTGTCCAATTGGATGATTTGAGAGGTGGGCCATCTGTGGCGGTCGAGGTCATGACAAGAAGTTTACAGTTGGTAAACAATGGAGGAGAAACTGGTGGTAGCGGTTTGCAGGCTGTCAAACTGCCCCTGAGACATCCTAAAATATGCCTGGAAACGGCCATAATCAAGGTGAAGCTCCTGGATCAGCTGGTGATACTCCCCATGATCACCTTCTGCTTTAGGTCTCATATACCCACACAGATATCTGTTTCTCTGTGCCCAACAAATAGAGTTGGGATCCGGATCTGGTTCTTTTTTTTGGAACCGGGTCCAAAGTTCCGGTTCCGGAACCGGTTCCATCACATTTGGAGAAACAGTTCCTAGATTGTATTTAAGAAAAAAAAAAAAAAAAAAAAGTCACGTGCATTTCCATTAGAGTGCGGCACGGGCCGCATATTTCTGTCCGAACCCAACCGAGCCCGACATTATTTAATTACTAAAGCACTGAGTTTGTGTCACACGGTTACAAGCTATTAAACAGGCTGGGTGTGCGCCGTGGGTGCTCAGCGGAGAGGGAGACCTCCGTGTTTAAAACGGGAGCGGGCGGCAGGAGGTCCCATTCCAGCGAGGGGAGCGGTAGAAACAAACAGCCTGTGTGTGTGTGTGTGTGTGTGTGTGTGTGTTTTGTTCAGGTGTTGTCATGTAAATAACATTGCCTAAGCATGAATGCATATAAGTATTTTTTATTACATTGCTGTGGTTAATTTGAAGTAACAGTATTACTGTAGAAATCAGAGAATCACTTTTTGTTGTTATATATTCTCAGGGAGATGATACAAGCTCTAAATCTGAAATACACACCACACACAAATGTGTATTTTCATCTAATTGTACTGTGCAACAGTTAGAATAAAGTTTTTGTATTTGTATGATTGCATTTGTGTTTATTAAATACTTTAAATATAGCAAGTATAATGAATATAATGTAGGAATTGGTAAGGAATCGGATCGTTAAGAAGGAATCAGAATCGTTAAAATCCTAACGAGTCCCAACCCTACCAACAAACTAGCTGCTGACAGCCTCTCACCCTCAACCAGAGCTACAGCAAGCACCCTCTGATGTCCATTTTAGGAACTAGTTACCAATTACTGTGAAATAAAAGAAATAAAAATAAACGGTAGATTAGTGGAAGGTTAGTGTTGGGACGTGACTGCCTGGCAGCGATAAAATGGCACAGCAAGCATTTTTTACTAGCGACATTCGATTAACAGTAGGACTGTGCGCCTGTAAAACGTTTTCTGTGTGATCAGGGCCTGACAGTGGCTTTGCTATTCAGACCCGGCCGGAAGCTACCTGCATTTCTCATGTACAGTCTATGATCCTAACATTTTTTCTGACCGTTTTAAGGATGTGAAAAATGCCATTCTGGAGGACATCTTGAGGCTGGGCAAGGAAGCAGGACTCAAGTCCTTTGAGCAGGTGATTGACTTTTATCAAAATACCTTCAAGTTTAGTATTTTCTGTTCTGCTGCATTTGATTCATTATTATCTCTCATATTGAAACTAGGGCTGAAATAATTAGATGATCAATTTAATTGATTGACTGCAGCTGTTTATAACCAAGTAGGTGTTTAAAGGCATTTGTCAAGTAAAAATGTAATTTTTACATCTTAACGAATCTTAAAGTTTAAGAATGTGCGGCTTTTCTTTTTCAGAATTGGATAGAGAACTGAATTTTTGGGGGGTTTGAACTGTTGATTGGACAAATAGGCAATTTAAAGACAACACATTGGGCTTTAAAAAAAATTGTGCAACTTTTTTTTTTTTTTTTTTTTTACTGTTTTCAGATACTTAAAAAAAAATATTTTTTGGAGGAAAATAATCTGCAAATAAATGTATATTAAAATGAAAAATAGTTGTAAATTGCAACTCTGTTTTAAATATTAATTTTCACTTTCTGTCACTCACTTTGCTTGTGCTCTTTTGTCTCTGCAGGTGAGAGACATTGCGTTACATCCTGAGCTGTTTTCTGTCCAGAACGGCCTGCTGACACCCACTCTGAAGGCCAAGAGAGCTGAGCTCCGGAGCCGCTTCAGAGGGGAAATTGATGAACTCTATGCCAAAATTAAGATGTAAATTGGGATTGAGGAGTACTGTTGGCAAGGTGACATACATTTAGAGCTCACAGTCGGAACCAAATAGTTGTCGGGGATTAAACTCGATTTGTCTGCCAGTGACAATCTGAGATAATGACTCTCAGAAGTCTGTATTGTCCCCGCTTCATCTCGTAATCGTACCACTAAATTTTCCCTGCAACCGCTGGCTATTGAGTTCAGAGTATGTCACCGTGTTACTGTACAATCTAAGAGCATGTAATTGAAAAACCCAAAGGGGAAATGTGACTTGCTCATGCCTTAAACTGCCATTAAGTCCGACTACTTCACAGTTGCAAAGATCTGAAAACATTTCTGCCAGTTTTTATAATCTTTGGAGCTGCAGAAAAATTCCTACAAACCTGCTTTTAAAGTGACTATTTATACCAGACTATTTAATTTTAAAGCTCCATCTATTTAAGTTGGTATTTAATGTAATCATTAAATCTGTAAATAGTGTATCTGCTGAAAAGTCTATTTGTATGCAGAGTATTGTGCCTGATGCTCTGTGGTTGTAATTCCCTGCATTCCCATGTCTCGATGCTGAAGGACTGATGAACCTTCCTGCGTGCACAATTAAGAGTTAATGGCCTTTTGGGAATCATGTTGCTTGATAGACTTTCTGTGCCTTTTATGGTTGTTGTTTTTTTGTTTTCTTTTAACTCTGCATGGGGAAAAACTGAATGTTATTATATTCTACATGCAATTCCTTCCTTTTAGATTTTCTCATTTCAGTGCCACAGGTTGCAGGATAACACTGCACACTGCCATTCGTGTAATGCACTTCACTGATCGGTGTAAATATTTGGAACACTGATATCACGGTTCATTTAAAGAAACACGTTTTTCAAAATTATTTCCACATCATTGTCAGCATTTCACATTACACTTATTTTCGGGTGTAAAACGGAGCAACATTTCAGTTGTTTGACAAAAGATTTTGTTGTGAATTCAGATGTTTTGAGTAAATTATGATCTTCACACACATTTAAATCACGTCGAGGCCTCCTTGGCAGTTCAAGCCATACTTTTCTTTATTTTATTTTTTCAAAGAATCTTATGGTATGAAAAGGGCAAAGGTGCAGTTTTGTGCTGAAGTTTTAAGTATAGTATATTGATTGTCAACTGTACAAAATAAAGATTTTATTCAAAAACTGTGGTGTTTAGTTTTTGGCTTTCTTAATGGGAAAAATAACATTGATAGATCCATGATTTCTAAATGTTTTGGTAGCTAGGAACCTGTTTTAGTTGTGTACAGTTGGTACCTTTTATTTGCTGAAGCTGACACTATTCACAAAGCATTAAAAAAAAAAAAGAAAAAACACACTCCTTGGCCTCTACTTCCTTGTGGCACTTCTAATGACCTTAATAGAAGCAGAAGGAAGAGGAGGCGTGACCGTTTCAGTAAATGTGACAGATATTTTCTTAAAAGTTACCAACTGTAGCTTGAGGTCACCGGGTTCCTCATTTATATGCACCATTTAAAAGTTCACAAAGGGTTTATAACCCACTATATTGTACTTCTACGCAGCCATGAGAATATTTTAAGTGTTTATTAAAGTATTTGTATTTTATTGTTATTCATTATCTGTTTAACACCCAACCTCCACATACAAGAGAAGTTAAGTGTTGACAAATAATTACAACTACATTATAGTGTTATAAACCAGTGGTTCCCAACTGGTCCAGATTTCCACAAAGTTTAATATATTCAGGGTCATGCTTGCATTTGGCCATGTCATCGAGCTAGTTTGCTGTCTTAAGTATCTGTCCGTTATTCACTCACTCTACTGCAGGAAATGACACTTCAGAATAAAAGCCCAGCACATGCTTTTATTTTAAATTCGCTGTACTTAAAAATTAAAGTGTTTTGACAAACTTGACACATTCATGACTCACTTGTGGTCATTTCAGATTGGACCTGTGACCCAGTTTTGGACTGTGATCCACCAGTTGGGAACCACTGTTTTAACCCATTCATTACATGTTATACTGCTTATAAATGCTAAATAGGAGGACATAAAGTGTTAAACGTATCTTTGATGCTGCCCAGCTGGTGCAAAATAGAGCTGGAACAATCGGCCAATTAATTGATAAGCTGACTGAAAATTAATTGGCAACTGTTTAAATCATCGAATAATAATTTCTGATTTCTGTCATTTTCTTTTCTCAAACTTTTTTTGGTTTCATGCTTATTAAATGTGAGAATTTGATGCTTTTTTTAAATAATAAATTATTGGTCAGATAAAAGACATCGCCTTGTGCTCTGGGAAATTAAATAGGGCTATTTGTCACTATTTTCTGACATTGTATTGACATACCAATTAACTGATAATAAAAATAATTGCAGCTCTTGTACAAAATAAACTCACCTTCTACTTGGAGTCAAAATCCGCCATACATTTGAGAAGAAGCTGATCAGAGATATCTTCGTTGTTTTGTTCAAAGTCATCTAGGCTCTCTAAAAGGTCCTGGTCATCCTGTTTGTCTCCCCACACCTCAGCTGATTCCTCCCCTGTGCTCTGTGGGGCCTGGTTTGATGTCTGGCTGAGTTCAATGTTACCAGCATCATCCATTAAGTAAGCCTGGTCTTCCTCATCCTGTTAATGAACACATGACATGATCATGCACCATCATCTTTGAGCCTAAAAAGAGGACAAACTGGATTATCTGGCATATTTAGCTCAGTCAGTCAGTCAGGATGCTAGTTGAAGGAAAGCAAACTAACCAGTGCCATGATGTAGCTGACGCAGATCTCCTGCGGCAGTGGGTAACCTGTAATATTAGAAATGTTTATCTCACATTAGCTGTGTTTCTATTGTCATTTACTTTATGACCCTACAGACGAATCATGTGACCTAACTTTTTTTTTATATAGGAAAGTCTAAATGGCAGCATTTAGGGTCATAACTTACTTGAGGACCTAAAGTTCTTGCATTCAGGATCGTGACACTTCTGGTACCACGCTTCCTCTTTGAGGTCCACAACAATCCTGCAGAGGAGGATAAGACCAAGTCAGAGGGGAAGTGGAGTGCACTTACAGACGGTTTACAAGATATCAAACATACGTACATAATGTTGTTGCTTTTATGAAACCTCTCCACATTTTCACACCAGCGGTATTTTGCAATGTCGTAGACAAGAAGTTGTTCGGCGACAAAGTAGTTCCACCGTCTGATGCCTGTGAAGTGAACACAAGGTACAGTCCTGACATTAATGATACAAACAGCTGCGATCAGTCTGCATAGTGCACTCTGACAAAGGATGGTTTAAACACAGACACGTTAACATACTGTATGCTATTAATTGGTGATATGAAACCAAAAAATTAAAAAGCACAATACTTTTGCCCGTATTGCATGTTCTTTTTAAATAGGCAACCCCAATCCCAAAAAACTGGGACACTGTGTGAAATGTAATTAAAAACAGAATACAATAACTTGCAAATCTTTACTGACCTATATTCAAATGAGTACAAAGACAAGATATGTAATGTTCAAACTGCTAAACTTTTTTTTTTGTAAAATATAAAATATACACAATTCCGAATTTGACGCCTGCAACATGTGCCAAAAAAGTTGGCACGGGGACAACATAAAGGAGGGAGAGAGAAGCGCCAACAGGGAGGAAACAGTAGGCTTTTAATCATCAGGCTTTAATGCTGTGCATTGCCAGACACAAAGTGTGATAATGAAAAGCTAAAAAGATGTGAATATTTGTCATAAATTGTGGAAATACATGAAAATTGTGGCACTGGGAGGAAACCGGACAAGGGTGATAAAAACCGGAGTCTCCCAGGTCGGCAAGTATGTTTTATAGACCAAACAATAAATCGATTAATCAAGAAAATAATCAGCAGCATAATCGATAATGGCAATAAAAACAAGTCCTAGGTCCCAAACTAGACATGCAAATGTTCTGAAAGTGAATCCTCGTTCACCAAAGCATTTTTAATCAGCCCAAAACTTACTTCCATGTACGCCGTCCTTTTTAACCAGAGTCAGTACAAAGTTGTCCACTTCCTGATGAGGGGATGACAGGCAGCCAGAAAGTGTATCTGCCAGTGATGGATGAGAAAAATGTAAAACTGAAATATAAAGTTAAAACACTGATACACCTACAGATTATATAATACACTATGTGTGTGTGTGTGCACAGAGAGCAGCCTCTGTTGTTAGCTCAGTGTTACCTGGATTTGTGGCTGATCCCTGCTGACAATGAGGCTTTGAGGTTTTGGAATCCTTCGTCTCTGGGGCATCGGACATCAGAATTTTCTGACCTGTGAAACTAAACATACACAGAAATAAGCTCTGATGCTGTGGCTTGATGAAGGTAACACTTTCAGCCCACAGAATACTAAAAGGTAAAGGCAGTTAAAGGTGTTGTACCTCACGTTACAGACTAAAGAAGCCAAGAACACGCTTTCCTCCGCAGACATTCCCTTCTGAGGTTTGTCAATAAACTTGTTGTCGTCTGCCACCGTGAAAGCAGCGTTCTTTCCCACTTTTGATGACTTGTAAAGCCGGAAATTTCTGTTCTTAGTGTAAACACCTGTTTTTGTGAAATATAACCATAAGTATATATTCATAGGTACATACAAAAACTGATGTGCAAGAGAGATGCTGAATATATCAAGATAAGACTTTAACCATGACTGGCATAAGGTTAAAAAGGACAAACAAAAAATTTCTCTTACCAAGATCAACAAATAAACAGTCTTGGCCATCCTTGTTTTTCACCTGGAGGAAACTGAGGTCTTTCTCTTCCTGCTTGCGCCTCTTGGCCTGTGGACTCTCAAGTGTCTCACCTGCCTTTGCTGAATCAGCATGTGTTCTGTTGTAAGTATATCATTGAGAAAACATTACACAAAGTCATGACAGCAAAGAAATTTAAATACTTATTTTGACAGACCTGACAAACAAACCGTGTTTCGACGCTTTCTGCCGCTGAATTCATCCCAACATTCTGGCAACTTTTTAGGGTGCTCAGGACTGGCTGAAGAATTGTATGAATAAACCTGCCTAAAAAAGACATAATATATTAACTAAAGTAACATATGATTTAAAATAGTTGCCTCCATGTGACACTGAACATACCCACGTGTATGTTGTCTTTGAAAGCTGCATTTGGGAGATTGAAGATGAGATGTCGGCTGAACTTCTCTTCTGTGCTGGAGTCGAGGTTGAGGACATTTTTTGCGGAGCATTTAATCCCATAAACTTCCATCAGCTTGTCACAGACATACTGTCACAAAACACATACAAGTAAATATACTGTGTATCAAAAGGGAAAGAACCAGAGGGATGCAAGTGACATTTTTGGCTAAAATGAGTTATATATACAGTACAGGCCAAAAGTTTGGACACACCTTCTCATTCAATGCGTTTTCTTTATTTTCATGACTATTTACATTGTAGATTCTCACTGAAGGCATCAAAACTATGAATGAACACATGTGGAGTTATGTACTTAACAAAAAAAGGTGAAATAACTGAAAACATGTTTTATATTCTAGTTTCTTCAAAATAGCCACCCTTTGCTCTGATTACTGCTTTGCACACTCTTGGCATTCTCTCCATGAGCTTCAAGAGGTAGTCACCTGAAATGGTTTCCACTTCACAGGTGTGCCTTATCAGGGTTAATTAGTGGAATTTCTTGTTTTATCAATGGGGTTGGGACCATCAGTTGTGTTGTGCAGAAGTCAGGTTAATACACAGCCGACAGCCCTATTGGACAACTGTTAAAATTCATATTATGGCAAGAACCAATCAGCTAACTGAAGAAAAACGAGTGGCCATCATTACTTTAAGAAATGAAGGTCAGTCAGTCTGGAAAATTGCAAAAACTTTAAATGTGTCCCCAAGTGGAGTCGCAAAAACCATCAAGCGCTACAACGAAACTGGCACACATGAGGACCGACCCAGGAAAGGAAGACCAAGAGTCACCTCTGCTTCTGAGGATAAGTTCATCCGAGTCACCAGCCTCAGAAATGGCAAGTTAACAGCAGCTCAGATCAGAGACCAGATGAATGCCACACAGAGTTCTAGCAGCAGACCCATCTCTAGAACAACTGTTAAGAGGAGACTGCGCAAATCAGCCCTTCATGGTCAAATAGCTGCTAGGAAACCACTGCTAAGGAGAGGCAACAAGCAGAAGAGATTTGTTTGGGCCAAGAAACACAAGGAATGGACATTAGACCAGTGGAAATCTGTGCTTTGGTCTGATGAGTCCAAATTTGAGATCTTTGGTTCCAACCGCCGTGTCTTTGTGAGACGCAGAAAAGGTGAACGGATGGATTCCACATGCCTGGTTCCCACTGTGAAGCATGGAGGAGGAGGTGTGATGGTGTGGGGGTGTTTTGCTGGTGACACTGTTGGGGATTTATTCAAAATTGAAGGCACACTGAACCAGCATGGCTACCACAGCATCCTGCAGCGACAGGCCATCCCATCCGGTTTGCGTTTAGTTGGACGATCATTTATTTTTCAACAGGACAATGACCCCAAACACACCTCCAGGCTGTGTAAGGGCTATTTGACCAAGAAGGAGAGTGATGGAGTGCTGCGGCAGATGACCTGGCCTCCACAGTCACCGGACCTGAACCCAATCCAGATGGTTTGGGGTGAGCTGGACCGCAGAGTGAAGGCAAAGGGGCCAACAAGTGCTAAACACCTCTGGGAACTCCTTCAAGACTGTTGGAAAACCATTTCAGGTGACTACCTCTTGAAGCTCATGGAGAGAATGCCAAGAGTGTGCAAAGCAGTAATCAGAGCAAAGGGTGGCTATTTTGAAGAAACTAGAATATAAAACATGTTTTCAGTTATTTCACCTTTTTTTGTTAAGTACATAACTCCACATGTGTTCATTCATAGTTTTGATGCCTTCAGTGAGAATCTACAATGTAAATAGTCATGAAAATAAAGAAAACGCATTGAATGAGAAGGTGTGTCCAAACTTTTGGCCTGTACTGTATATGTCAAATACAAGCATTTATTGAGCTCTATCTATTGCCAAAAGGCTAATTGTAAATTCATAACCAATCCAGAGTTATTAATCAAAAACCAAAACACTTAACACTGAACACACTGAACTATTTGGGGCCAAAAATGGCATATGTGCGCTTGCTCACTTAAAAAAAAGACCAAACAATAAAGATTAAATTCAGTAAACAAAGTCAGGATGAAGTATGGTCACTTTTTTTGGTTTGGTAGTCCTGTAAAGGTGGTCAAATGTCACTTACACCGCTCTAGTTCTCATCCCTTTAACGTAAGGAAGAAAAAAGATAAACTGCACAACATCTATCCAAATGTTTCTCCCATATGTGACAGATTCCAGTCTTCAGAAGCAACTTTAACAACTACTCACTCATTAAAGTTATAAATACTAAACATACTCACAACTTGGAAGGAAAACAGTTCACATTTCTGACCACTAACATTTGGCTGGAACACTTAATTAATACCCCACATTTAGGGAAGATTCTCTATGCCTTAACAAACAAGCCCTCTTGATTTGATAGAATTTGGCAGCCCCTAATTGCGGCAGTATCTCGCAGCTTGAAATTGGAGGAATTTGAGTGAAAGATAAACAGGAACTGGGTGGACTTTTTTGTACTATTGTAATCACTGCTCCTATATTTTTAGTTGCAGATTTAATGTCAAGTGGATACTTTTCTTTGGCTTTGTAACTGTCTGAATCATTATCTGTACGTGAAGCAAGCTGCTCGATTTAAAAAACAACAACAAAAAAAACAGCAAGATACATTGTGCTACCTGGATAAGCGAAGACACCATAGCTTTGCCATCGGCTCCTTTATTAGAGGGCTTGTGGAACTCCAAGTCAAAGTAAAGCTTGCAAACAGCGCCCTCTGGTATCACCTCGTAGCAGTGCATCAAGGACTGTGTGTAAGTCCTGAAAACATCAAGAGACAATCACCATCTATGCGCATTGTCACATTTTTTCCAAACACACAAAAGTAGATGCATCTAAGTTTGCATGTAGAAGTGATGTTTACCTGTAGTAGTGCCATAGCTCACTGTAACTGGTAACCAGGAAGATCCTTTGACCCAGGGATGCCTTTTCTTTTTCAAGTGCAAAAACATGCACAGCCTAAGGGATGCAAGGTGCAAATTTCAGCTATTTATCTGGGATGTAAGGTGTAAAGTGCAGACTGATGTGACAGTACCTGAAGTGTAGTGTTACCTCTTTGCAGCTCTGAGTGAAGCTGATAGCCATACTCTGACGAGGGAAGAGCTTCCAGATGGAGGAAGGCTGGCATGGCCACAGTCGAGGCTTGTAGGGAGTGGCCAGAGGATTCAGATGGAACGACTGAGCAAGCTGCTCCACCTTCTTCACTCTGTCTCCCCACTTACTCATCTTCAAGTGCTTATCAGCCACTTACACAAGACACTTTATTGGACCCACAGGGCAGCTTGTTCACCATTTGATCATCCAAAGCGAGGTCAGCTACAGTGCAGTGCCCCACCTCAGTGACTTGCTCAAGGAAACTTCAGCAGAGCGGGACTCTTGATCGTCCTTTCATCGTCAACCTGAGGAAAAACTGCATTATATGTAGAAGTGTTTCTGTTATTTAGTCTAATCCTTAATATAAGAATGATGGGAAAAAGGAGAACCTTTGAGTTTAACGCACTACATTTTACAGTCTCCAAAATGACTATACAGTTGCATAAACAAAAAATTAACACTACAACCTCCATTCAAGACAACTGTGTTAGACTGAATAAGTTTTAGCTTGGTGTCCCCCATGTATGTTTTCTACCTAAAATATAATGTAAAATAATAAAATAATAAATAGATTCCTACAGATATAGTCTTACACATCTTAACAGTATATAAAATATCCAGTATATTTTAATACTGTTGGGACGTTCCAGCTACATCAAAATGCTGTTTATATAAGAAGTGATGATACAATAAAATAAAAAATAAAAAACACTCTGGAAGAGGCCAAATTGAATAGTACTTTTACTTTTGATAATTCAGTGTATGTTTCTGCTAACATTGCATATACTTTTATCTAAGTAAAAACTTGAAATGCAGGACTTTTCCCTTCATATTTGTAAGGCAGCACTTCTATTTCTATTTGTTTCTGTGCTTAAAGAAATAATCAGATCACTTAATGAAGTAAATGTATCAAATACTGGAATGTAAAAATACTAATTACAAGTAAAATCCTGCTAGTAAAATTACAATAGTATTGTGTGTATCAAATTAAAAAGCTGTCATCAGAAAAGGGCCCTGTCAGAGTTTTTATTAAACATTATGGGGTACTGCACAGTACAGTCATGGTGCATTAACATGTTTTGTGTTTTTATTATAGGTTATTTAAATTTTACTATGCAAAGTACCTATAAATATAAAATAAACGCAGAGTAAAATGACAATATTTCCCATAGAAATGCAGTGACGTAGACACAGAAGTATAAAATGGAGCTACTGAAGTACAAGTACCTTCATATTGCACCCAAACTTAGTTAGTTTTCATTATATTGTATTTTCAACAGTGACTGACATAAATATTTCCTCCACCACTGTAGACTGTAGACTAACATACAGCAGGAAGTTATGACTTGACAGCTACTGAACATGGATGTAGCTAGGGAGGGGTGAAGACAGCTGAAGCTAATTTAGGCAGCAACGTTACCCGTAACACTGACTTAAGATAGCATACAGTGTCTTAAAGAAGTAAGTAAGTAAAACGACCATAACTCAGTTACTTTACCGTTGTTTTATGTCAACAGTCACCTCACTCACGTATCTGGTTATAGCAGAAATATAAACACACAAGCTTCACTAGGCGTCGTGTTTTCTTTTTGGCGCGCCTGGAACCGGAAACAGCGCCATTTCCGGTAACCAGAAAGACACGTTCGTAACAGACAACCCCCCCCCCAAAAAAAACAGACACCAGTATTTGTTTTTACTGTCAGTTATTATTATGTGTACAATAATAATAATAGACAGTGGACGTTTATAGTGCATGTATCGTAAGCGTAGCTTTTTTTAATGTATCGTAAGCGTAGCTGTCAGTATCAAAAACACATCATGACGACTTCCGGCGACATTTTTTATTCAAAATAAAAGCCTTTCACTGATGTGTATGTTGATGTAAAAGTACAATAAACACAAGAATAAATACATCTAAATATAAAACCGTACATGACATATCTCTCATAGAGAAGACAAATGCGTAGAATATAGGAGTAGACCATAGACATGGTAGAAACCACAGGCAGCCATGTTTATTGGCTTCTTGAAATATAGTGGTTTTTGACCTGGACCTGGTCTGATGTGGTCTCCATATGAAAAGCGCTGTGAAATGTCCCCTTCTTTTGCATCTGTACAGACAGAAAAGATGTCACACAGGTGAAGGTGTGTCTCAGACAGAGTTGAGGCTTTTCCTAAACTGTCAAACATATTTTTACAACACTAAGAGGTGCGACAAGCCGAGGAGCCCCGCGACGTCAGCGCTGTGTGATGTGCCCACAGCGAACACGGTCGTCGTTACAAATGACCTCCTGTTGTTACACAGCCAGCCAATAAAAGCCTACAAGGATCCAGTGGACTCTCTGCGCCATCTTGTTTTTCCCCAGGTGAGTAAATGTGTCTGACAATAACTGTCTTTTACATTTGAACTCGCTGTCGGGCTAATGATACTAGCTAACATTAGCTAACGCTAGCTAGTATTTGTTTCCGGTGGTCCGGTGAAACGCCGCTTTTTACGCTGTTGTCACAGCAGCTTCTCCGTCGTGTTAAACAAAAGCTTGACGGACGTGGCAACAGTAACTAAGGGGGCGAAGCGAAGGGTAAATTGTAACGTGATGTCACGCGTGACGTCACGGCTTTGATGAAAAAGTTTGTAAGTACACCCTGTTCAACCTACTGAGTTACCCCGTCGCCAGCGACCACATTATCTCACATTCGTGTAGACTCTTGTGAAACTTGACGACACGTCTTAGATATCAGAAGATACTGAAATTCTGCTTTCAGTTCACTTCAACCGCCGACATGCCGATCATTCACAGCTGGAATTTAGCCAGAACCTACAGTAACCTCAGGTTACAGCGTCAGGGAGGACTCATCAGGTTTGGTGTGGGACTTTTTCACCCCAGTGCACTTCCTGTTAACACAGGGGAACCTGAGCGCAGTGAATTGTCCTCAGATGAACCTGTAGTAGAGGCAGCAGCTCAAACAGACTCAGACTTCAGAAACTTTGATAATGTGAGGTTGCTGCATCAGCGTGCCGTCAGTAGCTCTACTCTGGACTGTCTGGGTGATGACACTCAGCACAGGACACGAGAGCTGGACAGCATCTCTATATGGACCAGCGCCGAGATTCACAGCTGGGATATAGCCGGAAACAACAATAATTTTAGGCTTCTGCGTTCTGTGTGTGGTGGACACAACAGAAATAATGTAGACATTATTCGCCCCATGTCACCCCTGGAGAATGCAGCAGAACCTGAGCTTGATGAATCATCCTCAGACGAATCTGCACCATCACCAGTGACTGGATCCCCATGCCATCGTCCAGCCAATGAGGGACACTGGGAAAAGACTGAGTCACTTGACCCAGAGTCACCTGATCATTTTCCTTGCAAGGAAGAAACTGCTACACAGGAAAAGACTGAGTCTCTTGACCCAGAGTCTCCTGATCTTTTTCCTTGCAGCGAAGAAGCTGCTGCACAAGAAGGACCTGAGCTCTATGAGTCAGCCTTAGTCAAGACAGCACTATCACCAGTGACTAGATATTCATGTCGTCTTTGTACAGCCATTGAGGGATCCTGGGAAAAGACTGAGTCTCTTGACCCAGAGTCACCTGATCTTTTTCCTTGCAAGGAAGAAACTGCTACACAAGAAGGACCTGAGCTCGATGAGTCAGCCTTAGTCAAGACGGCACCATCACCAGTGACTGGATCTTCATGCCGTCCTTGTACAACCAGTGAGGGACTCTGGGAAATTCAGAATCAGGAATACTTTTTTTTGTTTTATTTTTCTTTTCTTTTTTTGTTTTTTTTGTTTTGTTTGGTTTTTTTTTAAAAAAAAGACTGAGTCTCTTGACCCAGAGTCACCTGATCTTTTTCCTTGCAAGGAAAAAACTGCTACACAAGAAGGACCTGAGCTCGATGAGTCAGCCTTAGTCAAGACGGCACCATCACCAGTGACTGGATCTTCATGCCGTCCTTGTACAGCCAATGAGGGACCCTGGGAAAAGACTGAGTCTCTTGACCCAGAGTCACCTGATCTTTTTCCTTGCAGCGAAGAAGCTGTTATCCAATCCGGACCAGAGCTCAGTGAATCCCGTTCAGATCAATCTGAACTACTAGCAGCTCAAACACACCTGGAGTTCAGAAACCACAGTATTCTCAGGTTTCTGTGTCTGGATGGACTCATCAGGTATAATGTGGAACGTATTTGCCCCAGTTCACTCTCAGTTAATGCAGCCAAACCTGAGTCCAATGAATCATCTTTAGATGAATCTACCCAACCACCAGTTACTGGATCCCCATGCCATCCCTGCTGCGCCAATGAGAGACCCTAGGAAAACATTGAAACACTTGACCCAGGGTCACCAGATCTTGTATCTGGTGAAGAAGACATTGCTGTTTCCCAAGAAGAACCTGAGCTCAGTGAATTATCCTTAGATAAATCTGCACTGATCCCAGCAAAAACAAAACAAAATTCATCTGTTTTCACTGAGGCTCGAGCAGCAATGTCAATTTATTGGGTTTACTCCGGGTGCTCCGGTTTTTCCCAAACATGTAAATAGATAATTAAATAAATAAATTATATAAATATATATACATACATACATAAATTATATATATTTATATAAATTATATATGTACATAAATATATAAATGTATTCTATTCATTTTGTCTCTGTTGTTTCTCTGCCATCTGCTGTGCTATAAGTAAGACTTCCTATTTTTACCATTTTGTGTTTGTTGTCAAATGCAATTTTAGGATTAGGTTTTAGGATTGTTTGACACTGTCTCAGATACTTCTGTTAATGCTCTAATTTTTCACAAACCCTCAAAATATTTACATCATGTCAGCTGGTTAAATTAACCACCATCACAGAGTAAGTGTATTTTAGTGAGATATTTAAACCTTAAGTCAGGGGTGTCAAACATATGGCCCACGGGGCCAGATCTGGTCCACCAGAGGGTCCAGTCTGGCCCACTGGATGACTTTGCACACCTAATTTGGCACTTATTTTTCTGAAGATATCTTAGACTGTTCATCGTCTGTTTTTTAAAACAGGATGAAGGTTTTAAAAATGTACTTTTACTTCTTCACACTAAAGGAGAGTTATTATTTATAGGTTAAATCTGCAGTGGTTTTCCAGGTGCTGCCCACTTGAGAGCACACTGGGCTGTATGTTGCCCATGAACTAAACTGAGTGTGACACCCCTGATAAAGGCCTTAATGCATTCAAACACTTAATCCCCAACAAACACTGACATGTAAAACTGGAAACCGTTACATTAATCAATGTATTTGGACTCTGCCTCACAACAGGTCACTATTTGTTGGGAACTCGTGGTTCAGAAATAATGAATAATTATTAATAATAATTGTTAATTATGTTAGTGTGACTTAATTTACATTGAATCACCTCGTGGGGCTGCGTTCCTGAAAAAGGGAAAATGATTGTCAGTTAATGAAGTCACTCAACTGTCAATCTGGAACTCTGAACTGTGATTAATAATTAAATAAGTATTAATTATTATTAAATTAATAATTGCAGAGGTGATGTAGCCTTGACAAGACAACATTTCACTCATCACTGAACATCTTGTCAATCATGCGTGTACAGCATGATAGTGACATCAGCAAATAGTTCTAGTACGGTCAGTTAACACAAAATGAAGCGTGATTTATGAAAGGGCGCTCAACGGTGTGTTGTTTTCAATTTATGCTTTAATCAGGTAATAATACAACTTTATTCTGGTAATATTTGGACTTCATTCTTGAAATCCAATTTTTTTTAACAAGGCTAATTTTAATTCTGTTTTAAGTTTCTTTGGTTGAGAGAAAAAACAGTAGGAAGGAGCTGTAAAGCCTGATTTATGGTCCTGCGTTAAATCAACGAAGTACCTACGTCGTTGTTGTGACACCGTTGTGAACCCTTTGAACTTCACCGTCACTCCATTTCGTCGCGGTGCAATTCACCGCCAGAGCGGTAGGGGGCTGCATTCCTTTCCTGAATGGTTATCGTTGTCTCTAGTTGATCCTTTGTTTAGCTTCCAGCTTTTCCGGTTACAGTGAACAATGGCGACCAAGAGAGAGAGAATCTTGCTGGAGTTGGAGTTGTTGGATGTCGAAGAAAGTATGTTAATACTGCAACATCTACATCGCAACAGAAGATGTTTAAAGATACGTACCCTATCAGGCTTAAGAGCCATAAATAGTCATGTTTAAATGTAATATCCCACCAGGCCACAAGGGGGGGGGGGGATGGTACTGGCTGAGGCCAGCCAGCGTAGAGTTAAGTACGCTGATGGAAGGAGACAAACAGTTTTTGACTGTGCTTTGATAAAGCTTTGTCCGGCTCCAGACACTGATGAACAAATAAACGTATGATGATATAAAGTATTGGTAAAGACTGGAAAACATTTTCTGAATACACGTCATATTTGAGGTATCTGTACTTCACTTGAGTATTAGTAGACACTTCATACTTCTACATAATATTTGAAAGAGGGTCACTGTACATTTAACTCCGCTAATTATTTGCCAGCTTTGGTAATTATTTTACAAACACCTGATAATTATCATTGTCATCTTAACGTAGAAATGTTTGTTTTCTTGTGATAATGGTGAATGATAATTGTCTCGTTATTTTAGGGAAGCAAAGTTATTTTTTAGTGATATTTTCAGAAAAAAAACAACAACATTAAAACCATAGTTTAATGTCGAAATAACAACATAATTAATATAGCTGCTGTGCAGCGATGGGTCGTGTCCGGGCATAGTTAGGCAATTCTGAGCAACAAGCAGAAGAATTGGAAGACATTTAGGAATTTAGCAACACAATCTGCCTTTTGCATCAGCTGAGGCTTGAATTCACAACCTCTGAGACTAAGAATCAATTTCTATCTCACTGAGCTAATTAGTCAGTGACAATTCATGTGTAGCTTCACAAACTGACTAAGCCAGACGTGCAGGTTTAGCAGCCGTCCATGCATGGAAAAGCAGATTTCAAACCACTGTTAAATAATTCAGTTATCGAAACAAAAATCTGAAAATATACATATTGCATCTAGACAGCATGGAGATGTTGGTAATTTGTTTGTAACAATGATTGATTTGCTCCATAAGTGAAAAACTGATGTTTAAAATTGCCATTTTTACATTGACTCCAATTGTTCACATTAGAGCAAAATTCAAAATGCTGTCAAAAATTCAGTTTTTGAGATAAAATTCTGAAATTTGCCACATGAACACTGAAGATTTATTTAGCAAGAATTTGCATGTATATGTTTACAGTATCGTTTACAGTCAAACATTTTGATGCACTGTAGGCTCAGTTTTTCATAAATCAAAAATCTGAGAAATGTAGTTTGTGTAGGCCAGTCTGAAGATGCTCTGTAGCAAGTTTGGTGTCAATTGAGCAAAAATTGTGGGAGGAGATAGGTTTAATAAGTTTTACAGTTTTTGAAAAGAAAACAGAGTGATGAACTTCATAATTTTTAATAGGTTTAAATGTACAAAAGTTTCTTCAGTATTGGGGCTACAGTTTGATGAAAGTTGTGAAGTTGTAGCACGTATGGTTGATTTGTTATCAATTTTCAAAATTTTGAACTTTAGACGCTTGCTGTAGTGCCACCATCAGGACTATTGGCTTGAGTTTACAGCTGAGGATATCTGGCATGAGACTGGACCTTTGTGCAAAGTTTGGTGAGTTTTCACCCATGGGAAGTATGATTTCCTCGGAAGAAGAAGAAGAAGAATGTAGGATTACAATAGTGTAGGACCCTAATTATTCTGTAAGATAACAGGATATTTATCTAAAGAAATAAACATTTTGTTTTTTTGCAGGTGACAAAAAAGTTTTTCTTTGTCATCTTGGGATAAAGAGATAAACTGAACTCAACATAATGAATTTGATGAAGTCATTTTTTGTGAGATCACAATCATTTTCTCGTTATCTGGAAAAATAAAATGTCAGTTCCTTCAGCCTTCATTAAATTAACCACAAACATTTCACATATACTTTAACACTCGAAGTATCGTCACTGTCAAAGGGCCAACACTGTTTTTGTCGTAGATCAGAAATCAATAAGAGGAAGAATATCCAGTGATGATTCTGATGTTTGTTGTGCAGGTTCAGGATTTCCTGACCAGGTTTGAGAGCATCCCGGACATGTTGGAGCTCGACTGCCTCACTGTGTCCGGAGATGTCACCTTCGGAAAGAACGTTTCTCTGAAGGTAAACGTTTCGGTGGCCTTTTACACTTTTCATTGATGCTGCACTGTTAACGATAAAAAACTATAAACTAAAAACTATAATAATTCTATGTGTCACAGAAAGTTGAGTTTTCTTAGAGGAGCGATTCAAACAAAAGGATAAGTTCACAATTTGTTAAGTCTGTGAGAGTAGGTGCTTCTGTGGTGATCTGGAGAATTCAAGGATGAGGCCGATCACGGAGTTCTTTGTTAATGCACGTTTAATTACGAGCTCGGATCAACATGGCTACATGCAGAAGCTATGTGATGATTGTGAACAGAGAGAGACAAAGCTTATATAGGACAGTGGCACGTATACTATTACCTAAAATGGTGCTCTGACACATTTAACTTGACCTCGGGCCAACTAAAATTAGTCCAACTTGTCCATTCATCAGTAAGCCTAGCACTTCTGGTCAGTGGAGATGTAAAAATATATGGAGATATATTTGTGTCTTTATTGCATGCAAGAAAATAAATGATATGAAAGGGAAAAAAATGTTTGAGAGAAAAAAAATATGAGAGAAAAAGTTTTCACACTGATAGCAAAAAATAATATTTGAGACTAAAAAAGTTTTGAGAAAAAGTATTTTGTCATAGAATATAAAAAAAAAATAATTTGAGATTTAAAAAATGATTTCCAAGAAAAAAACCTCTCAAAAACCTTTTTTTTTTTACTCTCAAATATTATTTTTTTGTTATCAGTGTGAAAACATTTTCTCTCTCAAAAAAAAAAAAATGTTTCTCTCAAAACATTTTTCTATTCTCTCTCAAAACCTAAGTATTTGCTCTCGTGTCAGGATTTTGCTCTCACTGTGAAAATAATGTCATGGGCGGGGCCATGTTCCTATTGGCCAGTCTCAATCGAATTGACAGCTAGGTGAGGATCGTCTTGGGAGTTGAATTCAACTGAATCATTCATCCACCATGGTGGATTCACTGGCATAGATGTGCTGCGTTATTTGGGAGCGGATATGCATATATAACGTTATGCATGTGTGGCCAAATGGAGAGGAGAGGGAAATGAACCGACAACACCACCTGTGGAATTGCACCCCAGGGAATACACTCAAACCTGTAGACTACTCTTAACAACAGAAGGTCACACAGATTCGTACACTGGTAAATATGGGGACAGGAGACGGACTTCCAAATATAACACAGAGGTCCAAAGCCGCATGAATGCACAGCTGCGTTACAGTGTGCTTTAATCCGTCTGTGGGAAACCGGCAGAACAGCAGTGGAAAACGGAGTGGCCGCACCGTGGCTGGAGGCCGTGGATAGCCGTCCTTCAGGATGCCCAGCTGACGACCCACGTCACCGTGCAGCCCCACACAGTGCACAGAGGAGGAGAAGAAGCCACAAGCTGTGGCCTCAGCTACAGCAGGACAGAGAGCAGGACAACCTTAACATAAATTTAACAGAACTAGCAGAAGTAGAAATAAAAAAACAGAGTGAGCTTACCGGAGCGAAGGGAGCTTAAGCACAGCGCACAGCTCAAACCCAGTCACCGTCTCGCAGTGAGGAAGAGCAGACACCACGCTTTTCAAAGTCCCCTCCGAAGCTGCACACAACAGGAACGGCCAACGCCGTTGTAAAGCGAAGAGTCACGGCAGCTGTGACACCATAATACGCTTTAACAGTACACAAACATTGCAGCACCCATGCCTACCTTATGAGTCCCAAGTTTGGGTACAGAAACCGGAGCACGCCACACACAAAGCACGCCAACCGGAGCACGCCACACACAGCCCTCGCCATGTAAACGCCAGGTAGAAGTGAGCGAGCCAGTGAGGGGAAGACCAAATAACGCAGGTGCCACCACTGCGCAATTAGGCTCCGACAACTGGAAATTAGACCCAGCTGATGTCTATTAAGGGCAGAGGTGTAGCAGCGCTCACCCTGCCACACATGGAATGTTGGAAGAGAAAAGCACCATAGTAAAGTAACGTTAATGGGATAACCTAGCTAGATGTAAAGTTAATTAATTATAGTTAATAACACAATCTCGGTAAAATAACGTTAGGTGAGAAAAGGGATTCATTATAGGAATGATTTTAATAACCAACTTGCTCACCTAGCTACCCATCAATTGTGTGTGTCACCTTCTTACCCAAACATTGGAGTCTCTGCTCCCAAATAATGCAGCACATCTATGCCAGTGAATCCACTATGGTGGATGAATGATTCAGTTGAATTCGACTCCCAAGATGATCCTCACCTAGCTGTCAATTGAGACTGGCCAATAGGAACGTGGCCCCGCCCATGACATTATTTTCACAGTGAGAGCAAAATCCTGACACGAGAGCAGACTTAGGTTTTGAGAGAGAGAGAAGAAAAATGATTTTGAGAGAAACAATTTATTTATTTTTTTGTGTAGAATATTTATATTTTTGGGTGAGGCACGTGACGGGTTGACGAGCATGGCTGCCTGAGTGAGAGCGGAGTCCACACCTGCTCGCTTTTAACTTATTTTCTTGACAAAGAACCCAAGTCTAATCAAGTGACTTTGCAGAAACTTGAAACTAATACTCAAGAATGCCGAATGCGACCAGAAGTACCGCTAATCTGCCAAAAACTGGCACTAGTGGACCGAGGACTAATGAACCGGCGACCATGAGCCAAACAAATCAGTGCGACTCACTGCCATCTGAAGTGCCTGCTCTCTGTGAACCTGCTAATGGCAATATCTCTGGTGAAGTGGCTAAAGAATTCGCAAAACTCACGGCACTGATTCTAGAGAAGTCAGAGGCCCACGATAAGAAATCAGAGGCTATAGGGGCGACAACAAGGGCCACAGACAGCAAATTAGCCGATATTGCTTACCGTATAACACAAGTTGAGAGTCGCCTGGAATTTCTGGAGGATGCCAACGAGCTGCAACAAGCGAATCCTGCAGCCACAGCTTCTGAAGTGGAGGCCCTCCGACAGAAGCTGGATGATCTGGAGAACCGAGACAGACAGAACAACCTCCGCTTCATTGGGTTTCCAGAGTCCTGTAAAGGTGGCGACACCCTGGCGTTTCTGAGCACAGTTCTGCCGGAGATTCTGAACCTAGACTTCTCAATGGGTCTGGAACTGGAAAGGGCGCATAGGATTGGAGTGGCGCGTAAAAGTTCAGGTCCTGACTCTCCATCAACGAGACCAATCATCGCTAGATTCCTGAGATTCCAGGATCAGAACCGCATCGCAGGAGCGGCACGCACAATGGACAAAGTCACCTGGAAAGATCACCGCATCATGGTTTTTGCAGATTACTCCAAACTGGTGACTGATAAACACACTGAGTTCAATGCGTGTAAAAAGATGCTCCACGAAAAGCGCATTAAATTCTCCTTGGAGTATCCAGCAGTGCTCACCATAAGATCGTTGCAAGGTCCCCGCCGCTTTGATGACTGTAAAGAGGCACTGACTTAGCCTACATTATTTGACTTTTCATTCGGGGTAAGGCTATAAGGCACTACTTTATTTTGATGTTGGTGTTTTGGAATAGGAGGGGCAAGCTGCTTTTTGATTTTTGGCATCCCCACCTTATAAGTAGCTATTTTTGGAAAGTCGTAAAACATTCCAGTTCTTCTTTTTTCCCTTTTTTTTTCTTTTAATCTTGCTCAGGATAGTTGATTATCTAATGGACCAACCTGCTTATTGTATGAGATGATTATTCTTAAGTCTTGTTTTAATAAGCTACTGTTAACTCAGTTTTCTCCTCGCATATATTATAGACTAAGGAGTAAACCTATACAAACTTACGGTATATATTCTGGGGAACTTAATGTTTTTTGTTTGGATGATATTAAGGGTGTTTGTTTGTTTTCTCCTCATCTTCCCTTTTTTTTGTTCTCTCGCCACATAAATTGTGGACTAACAAATTTGTTCACAATCTGGTATAGTTTATTCACTCAAATGCCAACATGTTATATTCTTAAAAATGGGGGGTTCTCTGTAGGCTAATTGCATTTTCTATGCCTATGCCGGGAGCCAGCTGTGACACCACATGCACTCCTGTGCGTTAGGCATTAGCTGGAGGGGTGGGCGAGCGGGTGGTGGGACTCTGTTCTCCGCAGCTTCAAGTTAGAGAGTCATGGACCAAGTTGAGGCTTGTCTGGTTTATTGGACGCATGTTTGTAGTTTTTATTTTATTTTTTTGGAGTCTCTTGTTTGTTTATGTTTGTGATTATGTTTCTTATGGGTGGTTGTTGTGCAATATTGGGTCAATTTGCAGGGTGCACCAAGACTTGCATAGTACTCAGTTTATACTATTTCAGATTCCTATAAACTATGCAGAGATTGGGTCGGGTTTGTGGAGGCTTCATGTGGCAGTAACAAAAGCAGAGGAGTAGCAACTCTAATCAACAAACACCTGCAATTTAAATGTCTAAGGAAGAGTACTGATGAAGAGGGGAGAATTTTAATCATGTTATGTGAGATTCAGGGTAGCAGCATTATTCTAGCCAATATATATGCCCCAAATATAGATGACCCTACCTTTTTTGGTTTACTTGAAAAGAAATTAAATGAGATGGGGAATCATCCTGTTATTTTGGGGGGGATTTTAATGAGGTCATGGACAGCGTACTAGACACGTAGCTCTGCCTCAGCCCGCACTTCAAGAGCACAAATGGTGTTAACATGTCCAAAGTATAGAAAATCCAACATTAAAGGACTATACTTTTTTTTTCACCCCATAGTTCATTTTCCAGGATAGACTTTTTTTTAGTTTCTCACTCCCTCATACCTGCTATTCATACTAGTGGCATTGGTAATAGAATTCTCTTAGATCATAGTCCTGTATTTCTCCAAATGGGGTTATCTAGTAAGCCAGAAAAGTCAACTAGATGGAGACTTAATTCTAGCCTCTTGCTAAACGTGGCCTTCAAGGAATTTATTAGAACACAAATCAATCTATATATTGAAACTAACTGGGCTACAGCTCCCTCAGCAGGGGTGGCCTGGGAGGCTTTGAAAGCCTTTTTAAGAGGCCAC